TGCCAGGATTTAGGTAGGCCTTGGGGAAGAGTTGCTGGCATGTGGCAGGAGAGAGTGGGATTACATAAAAGAAGCACAAGTTTTCAAAAAAGGCTATAGAAGAATCACTAACAGTGACAGCAGACTGATAGTGAAGGCCTTGTATATGTTGCTCAAGAGTTTGGATGACCATTTTAAGGGAAATGACATGGAAGTTTTGATAGAATCACTTTATTTTTTTTAAGAGAAAGAGGGATTATAGATCATATTGAAGGTAGCAAGTGTGGCTGGTTAGGAGGCTCTGGCAAGTAGACAAGCCAAAGATAAAGACTGTGATGAGCATGGCAGTTGCATTAGTCAGCTTTCTTTTGTTGTAACAAAATACCTGAGATAAATCAGCTTAAAGAAGGAAAGATTTGTTTTGGCTCACAGTTTTAGAGGTTCAAGTCCATGGTCACTTAGCCTTATTGTCTTTGGGACTGGGTCAAGGCAGAACATCATGGTGGAAGCATGTTGTGGAGGAAACTACTCACCTCACAATGGTAGGTTAGCACCATCTTAGCATCATCTCTCATCAAGAATGGCCAAAACATTGGCCATTACAACAAGCCACTCAAACACTTCGAGGCCTAGGAATGGTGACTAATCCTCATAGAAGTGCAATGGTATTAGATTGGAAGGATCCTGAAGGATGTGAAGGAACTATACAGCCTTATATTGGATCATTTTCCTATAAATTTATGGGGACGAGATGTCCTAGATCAATTAGGTTTGACATTAACAAATAACATCAATTCAAATGTGCCCACTATTATGGCTAGACAAGGTTTTAGGAAAGGAAAAGGATTAGGAAAAAAAGGACAAAGTATAGTGGCACCAATACAAATAGATCAAGAAATAGATAGACATGGATTGGGTTTTCAGGAGGGGTCACTGAGACAATAAAAATTACTTGGAAATCAGAAAGACCAGTATGGGTTCCTCAGTGGCTCCTGACTAAAGAAAAGATACAAGCAGCCCATGACCTGGTCAAACAACAATTAGCGGAGGGACATATACAACCTTCCGTATCTCCCCATATGGGCCACCAAATGCCGCAGTCTGGCTGGGCACAAATAACCGAGCCGCCACAAAGCACTTGCATGTTCAAACAGGAAACTTTATTGCAGCACTCCATGCACACTTCCCGGGAACCCTCTCACCCTCCATGGGGCTCTGTGCGCACCCTCTGGGAACCCCACGAGAACTCAACCGGGAACCCCAAAGTAGCAGGCACCCGAGGCAGCAAGAGCCGCCCTATTGCCGAACAGCAAAGGTCTATATACAACTGAATACACAGCTTAACTTAACCATCATCATCTCAATGGCTCACTGGCATCACCTCTCAACCACTCCCTTCTGGCAAAATGCCATGCTTCATCCCGACTGGCTGTGGCCCTCAACAGTAAAAAGAAACAAAAAGAGAGACAGAAAGGGGCCATGGTCCCAATATCTCCTTTAAGGGTATACCCCAATGACCCAATTTCCTTCCCCTAGGCCCTACTTCCTGAAAAGTTCCATCACCTCCCCAAAGTTCCCCAGACTGGCAACCAAGCCTTTAGTATATGAGTCATTAGGGGACATTTAAGGTTCAAACCAAAACAGTGCTATAGCAACAAGTTTGGTAGAAAAATCTTTGAATTTATCCAAAGTAATTTAAAATATAGATTTGTATGTTATTTTTAGGAAAAAAAATATAGAACTGACAAAAACCTAAGAATTACTGTCACGAAGAGTCAAAGTCATATATACCCTCTAACAATCGCTGGAAGAGAGAAAAATAAATGTATTACATTTAATGAATTCATAACATGCCAACATCTTAATTGACAGGAAATTCATTGCCTTGTTTTTTTGTTTTTTTTGAAGTTCCTGAATTGAGCAGCTAGATTGGTTAAAAAAGACATGGTAAAATCTGTACCCTACTTAAGTCATAGAAAAACCATGAGATGGAAAGTTCTTGAGATATCATTTTGCTAAAGATAAGAAAACTGAGACCCAAAGGTTAAAACCATTTTCAGGAGTGACACACCTTGGATTGGAATCCAGAGGTCTGACTTTGTGCTTGGCGTTCTTCATTACAATACAAAAATTTCCCAAGATATTGAAATAAGTTAGTGGGATGCAAATGACCATTGAAAAGAGCAAGTTTTAAAGTTCTTTGAAGCTATAAAGAACATGTTAAGAAGCCAAACACCTGCTTTATTATTAAAGGTTGGTCATTTTCCCAGATTAACTGACCACAAGAAAATCTATGCCAATACCAGCAACTACTTGTCACACACTTGATTTCCAAAAATAATTTTGGACTTTGGTCTGGCTTCATGATACAGGTATGTAAATCCATGTGATTTATATTGTTATTACTTTCATACTTAAAAAATTAGAAACAGAAATATTATTTTATTTAGGATTAGCAAGAAGAGACTTTATAAAGATGAAAGATGGTGGGTTTATGAGTAAGTGATTTCATATTACTTATCAAGTGTTAGAAAAATTTATGTGGAATCTCTTTAAGGGCTAGGAAAACAAAGAATAAATTCCTATCTTGTAATTTTTAAAAATATATTTCTGAATAAGCAATAACTCATGTATTTATTAATTTTGAGTTTTTAATAAGTTAAAATTAGCTTGATGTGTTTCTTACTGACCAATTCCATGTTTAATGCAATAAATGCAATAAAAGCAATGCACATATTTATGAGTTTTTAGAAAGTTTATTATGGACAATGAGGAAGTCTCCCTGTCTTCTTCCTGCCCCAAATAAAAGAATCAACATGTTTGCATTTGAAACTTTGATTCACTTTATCCAAAACTTGTTTTTTTGTTTTGTTTTTTTTTTGGTACTGGGGATTGAACCCAGAGATGCTTTACTACTGAGCTACATCTCCAGCCATTTTTATTTTTTATGTTGAGACAGGGCCTTGCTAAGTTGCTTAGGGCCTCACTAAGTTTGGAGGCTGGTCTCAAACTTGCCATCCTCCTGTCTTAGCCTCCTGAGTCACTGGGATTATAGGTGTGTGCCATCTTGCCCAGTTTTATCCAAAATTTGAATTTTTGAATTTCATGAAGTGAAATACTTCATGAAAACTCTCAATAAAAATTCATTTTGAAAGTAAGCAATACTGTTCAGAAATGAAGAAATCATATCACTTATACATTATTATAATTATATAATTTTTATATATTTTGGCTTTAAAACTTGCCAATAAGTATTTGAAAGGATTGAAGCTTGTGACTTACTAAAATAGATATTTTATTAATCAATTATTTTGAAGCAATCAAAGTATCTAAATGTTTAAAAAAATTTAAATACAAAGCATATAAAGTCATGAGACTGATTGACCTTTTAAACTAACACAGTAAAATCTTTATAGTCAAATGAGTGACAGTGCTTTAAAGTCATGATCATGAGATTTTTCTAAGGATGCTACAAAGTCCTCACATGGTTTTGAAATGTCTTTTATATAACTACCTTCAAAAGGATAGGAACGTCCTAATTTAATCATTCTCTTGATTTGGTTCCCAATAGTATTCCAGTTCAATCATCCTTTGTATTTATCAGAACTGGCAATATGGGAAAGATTTGTCATTTAAAAGGATATTCAAAAGAATGTTATTTTAATTTCGATGGTGGTTCTGAAATTTGAGTATTTACACACTTTTAAGATATGTAAATTATAGTAGCTACTCACCCTGTAGACAGTTTTTGTACATTTATCATTTTAGTATGAAACTTTTAAAGTAACAGTAACTTATAACACTAAAATAGGACTCTATGGCTCAAAAACAATAATTGAATATGGTATTACAAAATCTACATTAGAGAATATCTTAAAAGTTTGTAGCTGTTAATTTTTAACTAATTCATGTAGCTTAGTATCAAGGACCCCCAAATTGAACAACTCTCCCATAAATCTTTCTATATGAATCATTTAGTAGAAATTTATTGTAGGATCAGAATAGCCTGTATCATAAAATGTTACTAAATAGCACCAACATTATTTGAAAGTAAAATGAAACATTCATAGAAAAGCAGAATTAAATTTGCAATTATAAGATTAAATTTGCAACTATAAAAGAGAAAGCATCTTCTAGATAAGATAGCAATTAGATAGGAATTATCTTAAAATCATAGCCAGATCAATATCAGTCATAAAACATTTCAGGATTTTGCTTGAAAAAGTTAGAAAGGAAAACCTTAAATTCCTTCCCAAAGAGACATATAAATGCTTACATAATCAAGACAGTGCAATCTTACCAATGAAGTTACTTTGTAGGAGATACATTTACTTTTTCTATATATTAGTTCAACAAGATAATATAATAAAAATGCTTTAAAGCAATTTGATTAGAGCAACATTTACATTAAGTACAAAATATACAGTAAAATGAAATATCTTGTTAAATAGGTCTATAATGTAACAATATCTGAAAGGAGCACATTTTCATGAATCTATTTTCACATTTATTTATTATATTTGATAATTACTATCATCATTATATTCTTTTGCTATTTCAGTTTCTAGGATCTTATTATAGGTTATCTCTAGGTATCCTTATATCTGTAAAAGTAATAGAAAAAGTATTACTCCCATAGTAAAAAAAAATATGTGTATAAGAAATCCCACATTTTACGAGCTGTTGTATACAAAGCTATTGTAGTGTTTTGAGAGAAGTGTTCCTTGATCACAAGTTAGTCAGTATAAAATGTGTACCTTTTTACAAAGTAAAAACTGTCTCCCTTTAAAATTAAATGTTGTCAGCCTAGTGTATAATTCTGGTTATAAAATTAGACATGAAATTCTTGGCTCTTAATTAGAAAAGCATAACTTGCCAATAGCTGTTTCCAAATGTGGGTGCCCATCTTAATAGTTTTCTTAATTAGAACAGTTGAGCAACGAAGAGAACAGTAGTGCTTTTATGTTACAACGACAAAGAAGTATTACAGTATTCAAATCTCCAGACAGCAGTTTAAATGCTCAGTCCTTGCTCAGTTGCAAATTGACAGAAGAGAAGCAGCGTCCAATGCTTGTATACAATGGGGCAATGATAACATCTGTCACACTCTTCCATATTGTCTGCACTGAAGGTAGAACCATCAGGCAGGTCTTTACAAAAGGCATTATAATCCTGGAATGGAGGAAGAGGAATGTGTAAGGATTATTCGTGTTATCAAATAAGACCAATGACTCTCGTACATGTGTGAAAAGATACAATAAAGATGAGACTCACTTAAATTTGTCAAATAATTCAAAATAAATGGACAATGACCATAGTGATGAGAAGCACAAAAAATAAGTGGCTTAAAAAATAAAAGAGGCTACTCATACTCTTGCTAAATGCTATCCAAAACAGGGCAACACAAATAAACAAATAGTTTATTTATCTTTCTGATCTCTGCCCCTAAACATTAACCTGCCCAACATGCCTTGTTTCTCTGAGGTTCTACATAATGACTGCCTCTCCTGGTGCCTAATCCTCCTTCCCTTCCCCCTGGACCAGGTAAAGTTGCATACTCTCTCTCTGTGCATCTATAGTACTGAAACACACTTGCTAATCCTGATATTTATCAAAAGGTATCATAAATAGATGCTTATATTTCTGGCTTTTCTTCTGGAATATAAGTTCTTTAAGTGACTTGACCTTTCATAAATATTTGAACAGAAATAAAATTTTGCATTCTATTATGCTCCATATCGTTAATTATGCTTCATATTATTAATTTTCATAGCAATTATACACATTAAGGCTGTGTGGTATAGTTAAATTAGCCCTGAAATTGACATTAGTATCTTAGACAAGAAAAAAAATGAGCCTTTCCTCAAATTACTTTTGCACATCTTTAAAAAAAAAATAGCTTAATATTCTTAAATTCCTCAGGATAGTGAATTTTCTATGTAATATTTGAATGATTTTTTTTTTTTTGTAGTGCTCTTTGAGTACAAAAGTATGTGAATTCTTAGGCATTGTTGGTAGCTTTAATGGAAACTCTATTATTTACCTGGGTGGGTACAAAGAAGTGAGGTTGATTTTCTTGGTTTGCTGTTAAAATGTGATTTAAAGGTATGCTGCACTTAGTTCAGAAGAGTCAATCAGCAATTTTCTGATTGGTATATATTGAGAGTACTAAATTATTCAGATTGCCTAACTACACGGACTATATTTATCTTGTGTTTTATTGGAAGTGCTAAATATTTGAAGCAATCTCATAAGAAAATTATTTATGAATTATTTCAAAGCTAATCAGTTGAGTAAAAACTTGAATAATGACAAACTTTGACCTTTTATCTCATTTTGTTTCTCACTTGATATGTGGGGCCTTGGGCACACTGCCACAAATAAGAGAGAAGAGGAAATCCTACAGAACTGGTTATCATAGTAGGTTCTTAATGTGTCCTTGAGACGTCCATATGATGTGATCTAGAATGAATAATAAATAGGCCTGTTTTGAAGACAGAATATATAAGGAAAACAACTAGAATAAAATAATCTTGAATTGATAAATTCTAAGACTGAAGTTTAGATCAGAAAGTTTCCTAACCAAATCCATTTCATTTAAAATAAAATATACTTTCCACTTTTTCTCAGGCTAAAAAAATTCCCACCCCCCCCTCCCATAACTCTTTAGAGCTCCATGTCCTCAAAAGGAATTAAGCACTAACAACAATGGATTTTTCAGTTTAAGGATGTGATGTACTCATTTTAACTTTATTTTCTTCAAATTATCATTCTTTCCTTTTGGATAAGAGAGTCCAATAATCCTTGAATATGAAACTTCAATTATGTTTTCAATATTGTAAATAGTTTTTCTTTAAAACTATACACAATTTGTAATGACCCCAAATTTGTAGAGGCTCAGTGTAGTCAAGCAGACCTTTCTGATAAAAAATTTACAATGTATAAGAATATTTTTTTCTTCCAATGGATAATCTGGCCCTAAGTCAGGATCTTTATTCAGCTTTTATTAACTATAGTGTTATTCAGACTGTACTGTCACAGAAATTTTCTGTAATTTAAAATATCACCTAGAAATGAGATCACTACCATTGCATTTTTGTCAGTAAACATCCATTTGCATTTTACCCCAGCAAAAATTAGAGTATAGATGCTCCAATCACATTTCTTTGTTAATGATCCACTTATGTCCAAAGACCTTATTTGCCAAATGATAGCTATATATGTCCAACCGTGGTACCAAATCAAATCAATTCACTGGTCATTTATGATCTGTACTTCTGGTAAAGGGTCTTATATCACTAGACTTCTGGTTCTTTATTTTTGTTGTTGTTATTTGTTTACAAAATTTGAAATCAAAGTGTGCACAGTGGCATGCACCTACAGTCCCAGTTACTCAGGAAGCTGAGGCAGGAGGATCACTTGAGACGTGAGGTTCAAGGCTAGCCTAGGCAACATAGTGAGACTCCATCTCAAAAAAGGAAAAAAAAAATCTAAATCTACATGTGTGGTGACATTGTGGTTTGGTTTAAAGTGCCACTAATGCATATTGTCTTAGCTTTGGACACCATCAATCTCTTAGTAAAACTGTGTACAATCCCTTGCTTTAAAAGATGGAGAAAGAGAAGAAGAAAGCTTACCTAAATGGGTTTGCTCTCCTATATAGCCTCTCATCTATCTGGTCTTGTGTGTCATGGGGATGTAATCCAATAATGATAAATCTATTTGATCAAGGCATAAACTAACAATTAAGCATTTTTGCTTGAAACTACTCCTCTACTTACAATCATGGCTTCCTGATGACAAATGTATGACAGTTAAATATTAATATCCCACATGAATGTAATTTGAAAAACAAGTGAAGTTAAATAATATGTTTTTTTTTTTTTTTTTTTGTGTGTGTGTGTGTGGTTAAAATGTATGTGAGTTGATGATTCACCAATGGAAGCACTACACAAAAAACACCTACCATTCTTAGGAGAGCCAGGTGGAGAGAGGCATCATTTAGTTAATTATATAGTATTATAGTATTACTTGTATCTTTCCACCATTTAGTAAATGAAAACCTTTCCTTTTTTCCAATTCTTCCACAAAAGCTCTGGGAAAGCCTAGCTTTGCCAACTATAAATATGGCACTCCGTATTTCCAAATAGCGTCATAATGTGCATTTCACACTATTCTCTGTGTCACTCAGTTTTCCATATTTTTGAAATGAAAAATTGACATCGAAGTTAAGATGTCTAGTTTTAGTTAATTAAGAATCCCAAATTTTATTTGCTGATTTAGACACCTACAAAAAAAAAAAGTCCATGTGTATGTGAATATCAAATACGAGATAACTATACATCTGGCCTTTGTGGATCTGCACATGTATAAAGGCCAAGATCTTCATTTCTGTGTCAATCTTTCAACACTTTCCAAGTAATGGCTTACAACCTTCCATGGTTAAATCTGGACTTTCTTTATTTATCTGGTGAATTTTTACTTCTTTTAAAGGCCTTCTTAGACTTCTTTCCCTCACAAAGCTTTTCCTGTTTCCTCCTGTTTCCCATTAGAGTTAACTACATTCTCTCAGCATTCACATCTTTACCTAGCCAGCTGCCTTGATACTCTGTGGGTGGCTGGAGGAAGATCCTATGATCAGTGTCCAGCACAAACTAAGCACTCAATAAATTTAGTCTGTGGAACAAACCAATTACCTAACTGAGCAAAGAAACTGAGATAGAGATGGTAGGAAGGAATGAAAAAATAATTTGGTAAATTCTAGCAATGAACAGTGTGGCAACATCATGTAAGTGGTAACCCCATGAAGGCCTCTGGGGTTGCAAGTGTTTCATTAGGACTGCCTGAGGCACCAGTTTGACTGCTGCTGTGATGTTGGGGATGATCTTCCTCTCAGAATAAAGTGGATATCCTTTAACTCAATAATAAAACTTGGTGAACTATGATGCCTTTAAAAATTTTAAACCTTTAAAAATGGCCCAAAGTTCTATTGTGCATTTTGAGTGTAAGTTACTCAAAACATCCTATGGATGTCCAGTGGGTTTCCCTATTTCTTTTCTTTCTAACTATCTGCTGTTGATTATGTTTATTCCTCACAAGTGAAAAAGTAATTTGATGGCTTTCTCATTTCATTATCTCGCACCTTGAGTTCTCTTCTGGTCCTGTTCTTGCCATTTGTCAAGTACGATTGGAGCAGCTCTTCCAGAGCTGTTTAACTAGGCCTCATTTCCCTGGGCAATTATATTGTCACTGACATTCTGCTCAGAGATCACTTTTGTTTACCCCAAGAACAGGTGGTGACTGAATAAAAGGCAAGGAAAGAAAGAAGAGCCCTGCCCAGAACCACAGGTACAAGTCAGAACAGGACCCCAGAGCAGCCTGTGGCCGGAAGCATGCTTGCAGGTCCCCACCTCTGGTACTCAATTCAGCCTCATTCATATATGTGAAGGAAAATCACATCCGGGAAAGGGGTTCATTCTTCCTTCTGATTAAAATACCAGTCTGAACTGTTATTCTAAAGCAAGTAAGCTGCCTTTCAGGGCCTTTCAGTTTTGCTACTGCTTTGGAAACAGATGCTTGTTCTTTCCTCTACAAACCAGCCTGGGAGAAAGGAAGGGGTTTGGCGCGGGGCGGAGGGCTGTCAGGTGGCACAAAACATCACTACTTTGCAGAAATCCGGTCCACCCAGTGTGCCCCTTCTCACCAGATGTGCAGACAGCTGAGTGTGGCAAAGAGAATTCCCGCAGCAAATGCCAAGGGGATGGCCAGGAACACGGTCAGGAATTTGTAGATCACGTATTTGCTGATTTCAAAGAGGGCATGGCTGCAGATCCACACCTTGTCGAAGGAGTGCGTAGTCACAGGCTCTGCGATCACATCCTCAAAGCCTAGCTGCGGGGCAAGACGTAGGGACCCGAAATGTCACCCAACCTGTCGCCCCTGGAACGGCAAGCGCTAAGGGGCGGGAGAGGCAAGAAGGACCGACGTGGCTAGACTCAACCCACCTTTTCTTAGGGTCACATAAGAATCTGTCTGAGGATTCTTGGCTATGCAGGGAGCCGGGTGGCGGAGGGGCAGGGCCAGGATACCGGTCCTGAACTATGCGTGGTGGACCCGGGCGAGGGTTGGGTGGGGCGGGGCGGGGCAGAGGCGTCCGCACTCGTGGCGGTGGGGAGGGGGACAAGCCTCCCGTCCAGGTTAAGACCCTCCCGGAGCTTCACCTTGAGATGGGAATTAAGCCGGTGGGGATCCCGGTCCTGGCCCGAGTCTACGAACTTCTCGGGGTCTGCGTAGTCGACGCTGCTGTGGTGGCTGTAGGCGTCGTCGTCCATGAAGAGCTGCACGTCCGCCTTCTCGGTCTCCAGCCCCATTGTGGCTCGGTGCGCGGCGGCTGCGGCGGGGCTGGCTCGGTGCAGCTCCGGGCCGCGCAGCCACCCCTTTCCGTCGCGCTCGGCCCCGCCCCGCCTCGGCTCGCCTGGCCCTGCGCGGCCCCGGCGGCGGCTGCTTCCCGCTGCGGGTTCTCACTCCCGGCTCCTGCAGACCCGAGCCCCGCCCTGCTGCCCGGCTTGGGGGATGGGGATCGGCCGCTCCCGCTGGGTCCCGCCTGAGCGCCGGGAATCCTCCCAGCAAGTCGTGTTCCTGTCCTGTCCTGCCCAGTGGGGCGAAGTGTGTCAGCGGGGCGAGGCAAGGAGCGAGGGCCTCCTGGGCTAGGTTTTTGGAGGCCAAACTGTGATGCTTAAGCTGGCAGGTTGTCTCAGGGACTATGAACTTACTGATTGTAGACGGCGACCAGGTTAACAGTGGGGAAGAGTCGGGTGTGGAATCAGAGGGTCTAACTTCACCCTAACCTGTCTTTACTCCGTGTGTTTTGGCCCAGTTGTGTCACCTGCTTCAGAGTTTGGGTGTGTGAAAATTAAACGTTAATTTATGCAAAACTCTTATATGGTCCCTATCTCACAGTATGCTTCCAATCAATGTTGCTGCGCTGTATTGAGCGATAAATATCCATAATCCACCTGATTGCCAGAGGACCCCACAGGTGCATCAGCCATCCCAGCGCCCACAGAGTGTGTGAGCCTGCTGGAGAGGCAGGGAGTGGTAGTGTTGCCTACTTGAGACTTCTAGACTCCAGGAGTTTGCAACTTCATATACCAAGGGGAGGTCTGTTCTCACCCCCAAACTACAATTCTTAATTTTTCTTTGAAAACGCTGCTGAAGATTTCGGGAACCCTTAAGATTCAGACAGATCTGTAATTGCTTGTAAAAAAAAACAAAACAAAACAAACAAACAAACAAACAAAAAACACAAAAACGCGTAAAAACAGAACCCTAAGCATAAAATCACATTGCTGTAGATGAACCGGCTTACTGACCATTCAAATGCTTTCAGAAGGAAGGAGTTGGTAGCTGGACTGAGGAAAGGTGTTCTGCATGTGATCACCTGGGGTTCCTGGCCCAGAGGCTGTACCACCATGAAAGCCACTGGTGGGCTCTCCTCATGGAGCTTCCATGCTGTCCAGGTGACATTCTACCTGAACTGGGGCTCCCCTCTGTGAAATTGTTACTGGCACAGAATATGCCCATCAGCAGTCCCCAGTTGCTGGGTATATCAGCATCCATAAGTATCTGGTTGGTTTGGCAGCGCCTTTATAATCTAGTGAACTTAAAAGTGTGTTTGGGGAGGAAGAAGACAGTGAACATTTGCCAAAAGCAAAATAATGTCTCTAGACTTATGGGGCTGCCTACAGCTTGCCCAGAGCACAAGACATAGTAGGCAAGCATTAAGTGTTGCCATTTCAGCGTGTTTGGAGCCTGCTGCACATATCAAAACCCCTTAAGGGAACTGGAGTTGATGAATTACTTCTAAAAGGAAAAGACTATTTTTGGAATAATAAAAATTATCAAAAGAGAAAAGGAACTGAGTGGATAAAAATATCTTGGAGCCCAAATTCTGAATTACTAATAATTAAATAAAAAGTTTACTCACTACCACTGTTAGGTATGGATGGCAGTGTTGCAGCTGGGCAAGAGTATTAAGTGCAGTAGTGTTGAATTCTGGGCCACTGTGCCCCTCCTCTGTCTGCCCATTACCATTCCCTTCCTTCTTACTTTTCTGATTTTATTTGTGTTGGGTTAGAACTAAAGTGATGACTTACACATTCTACTTACTGTTTTTTTTTTTTTTCAGTACTTCACTTACCTCCTCCATTCACCCAGGCTGATTGACAACCTGAGATTTAGATATCTTCTAGAATTGCTACCCAAGAATTGTTTCCCAAAGTAAATAGAGGACAGGAATCCTTGAGGGAGTTTGTAATGTTGATTACCAGGAAATAGAAGAGAGAGTTTCAAATAATATTTTGTAAAAAATAATATTTTGTAAAAAAAAACAAAAAAAAAACAACAGTTTTCTTCAAAACTATAATCCCAGATTTTGAAATATTTTACCAAAGAAGAAAGTCACTCCTGCAAGGCTAGAGTGGGCCTAAGCAGTGGCTGGAAAGCTGGCACCAGGGCTTCTTCCCTTGTAATTCCTGGTCTTCTGATCACATTTGCATTTCTAGTGCAGTTACTAGGAAGTTTGGGAGAGTTATCACAAATAATTGACTCATTTTTCAGGCAGTGGAGCCAGGAGGCCAATGAGGAGGTGAAATTAGCATGATCTTAACAGGACAGTTTAAATTTATTTATAAGATAAAGATATCATGAAAAGGCATCTTTAAAACATAAGCCATATGAAATCCATCTAGATTTGTTGTATATAGCATAGAAGTTAAAAGGAGAATTCATCTTTAATTTATTACAAATTCTTTTTTTTTGAGAGAATTTTTTTTAATATTTATTTATTTTTTGGTGGACACAGCATCTTTATTTTATGTTTATGTGGTGCTGAGGATCGAACCCAGCGCCCCACGCATGCCAGGTGAGCATGCTACCACTTGAGCCACATTCCCAGCCCACATTTCTTAATGAACACTTCCTTCTCCCATGGACTGGGGTCTATGTAAGTCTTTTATTTTGATGAGTATTTTCCCATTTCCTGTAATACATAAGTTTTTTTTGAGTGGAGCCTTAAAATTTATTTTCCTTTCCTATTAGTAATGCTCAGATAATGGCAGCTGCTGCTGTTCTGGGCTTAAACCAGAGAGATTTCCAAATGATAACCAACCTTACTAACCTGGTAGTCAGCAAATGGCATTCCATCCCTACTAGCTTGATGGGAGATTTTCTAAAGGAAAAACAGAGGAAGTTGAGTACACCCAGTATCTCCCAGACTGCTCTCTAATAGAAAGAACTCAAAAAAATTCATAATAAATTTATGCAGGTATATTAATCTTCTGGCTATTATCACATATCTTAGTTTCTGACAAGAGGTTTTTAGATGGTGTAGTTTTAGATGGTGTATTAATATGTTTGAGGAATAGCAATTGATAATAAATTAATATTTGTGAGTAGAATAAATTATAACCATTTCATTTCTTGATTTTCTTATTTAAGACAGGTCATTTTTCTGCCTCATTGAAAATTGTGTGTGAATCTTCTTATGAGTAAAAACACCTAATTTCCCCCTTTGGTTTGTTCTCAAATCACACATCTTGTTCTCTGAAGAGTTTATATTCAATTTTAGTCAGGGTTTGTTTTTTAAACTGCCTTTGGGCATATTGGTTATTAATGGAAATAATAGCTTCTTGATCTTACCATATAGTTAAATAATATTTAAAGTATTTAAGTTAAACCAGGGTTTTTCAACCTTGATTCCATTGACATTTTGGTCTAAATCATTCTTTGTTGTAAGCGGTTGTCCATTGCACTGCAGAATATTTAGCAATATTCCTGGCTTTTATCCACTAAATGACAAGCATACTCCCGAGTCACGACAACCAAAAATGTTTCCAGACATTGCCAAACATCCCGTGGGACCCCAAATCACCTTTCTCCTCCTTCTTTGGGCTGAGAACAACTGAAACAGCACCATTGAAACATTGAAACATGCGAATGGAAAAAATTAAGATCTAGCTGTACATTTATAATCCCACACTTAAAATGACGCTCAAAACTGTGATACCATTTTATCGGAAATTCCAGGGTTTTTTGAAGTTTAGCTAAAGGATATTTATCTGTGCTGTAAAATTTTCAATAGAACCAGTTGTCATTGATGAACTGTAAAATTTTAATATGCTGATATAAATTATGGGGTATTTATTTATGTTCCATCAAGAGAGAGATAAAAAGAGAGAGAGAGAGAGAGAAAAAAAAAAAAAGCACTTGCCAAGCCCTGTCTACTAGGACTGTTTAAATGATTTTATCTGGAAAATCATGGATTTGGGACTTCTTGATGCACAAGATTCCATCTTAGGGATATATAAAAATCAAGGCTTTTCAACAAACCTCAGCACTGAGTAGCTTTTCCCAACCTGATAGGTGACCATAAGGGAGAAATCCATAGACTTAGTAGAGGAAGACCCAGACAGGTGCTTACTAGGTCCTTTAAGCTTCTCTCTCAGGCTTGCTATGGACAGCAAGGACAAAACCATGTACCTTGTCAGAGGATGGGGGATGGTTGGAGGGTGAGGGTTAAGCAGGGAAGAGATGAAAAGATGCAATAATAAAGAAGAAGCAGGGCTCAGGGAATTATACAAGGAATATGCAGATCTCACTGTGCCACAGAGTGTCTCATACATGAAACAACAGATGTCTCTGAATTTCTCAAGTTTTGTGCCCTACCCCAAAGTTTAAAGGAACAGATAAAAAATGTCTTCTAATAGTTATTCAATAATCAAGTTTGTGAAGTGGTGCCAGGTAGTCATATGTTATTTAATGAAAGTTTCTTCATTTTTTTCTCCTGCATGCCTCTTTTCTTTTTATCCACATTCTGTGTAAAGTAAGCCTTGCACCAGTGAACCAGGAATTTCTAGTTTAATATTAAGACACAGTAGCTTGTTTGTAATTGGTGCCAGCTTAATTTTCTGGCTGTTTCAAATAGCACCTCCTCTGGCCAAAACTGTTTTCATACACAAGAATTTGCAGAATTACCTGGGTTTGGGAATGCTTGGCTATATATATGTGTATTAAGAATTTTAATGCAAAAAAAAAGAGTGCATGTATAATGGCATAATTTGGCGTGAACATACTTTATATACAGTGTTAAGAAAAATTGTGCTGTATATGGGTAATAATGAGTGTAATGATTATTGTCATGTATCTAAAATATAAATGAAAAAAAAATTAAAAAATAGCCAAGAGGGGAAGAAGGTATACTCTTGAAAAGTCTGTGTTCATGATTAAAGCTGATGGAATAGTCATTCTAATCTCATTCAAAACATTGTATGACAATTAATTTTAGATTTATTTTATCCTGTTTTCCGTAAGTAAAGGATGTTCCTGTT